ATGAAATCTCAGAGCAGGTACAGAGTTTATTTTTACTTTCTCAAAGGCCCATTTATATGTCAGGTTGATATTAAGTGTGATGTAAGGAAATAGGAGTCTTGTGGGATGGATGGCAATTGTTTTGATGTAAAGCTGAAGTACTTGTCAAAGTATTCTTAAATCTGATTATTTATTACAGTGTGGTTCTATTTTTGAATTCTTTCACCCTCAAGCAACAAAACAAACTCTTCTAGGAAGCTGTGCTCGTTTAAACCCCATTGACATCTAGTTCATCACCAGGTTTGCATGAAAAGAGAAGAAGATTGAGGAGATTTGAACTTGACCTTAGCATCATCCTGGCAACCACTAACGGATTTTGCACCAGTCGCATTTTCTTCTGACATTGTAAAAAATCTAGTTTAGTCTAATTTGTTGAGAATGTGACATATTAGAAGTCAAGTTGCACATAAAGTTAACTTTTTCTTGTTTTTGTGGCTGAGTGACTCCGTGGGCGATTTATTACCAGCATGAATAGACTCATTACTTGTTCTTCACCCACTTTAAATGAGTTTCATGCTTGTTTTAACGCAGCTCTCCCAATCAAGCGAGCAAAACAATGACAGTTTGGCAGTCGCCTGGCTTGTAATATCAGGACGGTCCGCGTCTGCGTGTTGAATAGAGGATCTCTCTTGGCACTCGTGTATGTGGTTAATAGTCAGATGTTAAGATGGGTGATGAGGGAACAAAGTGCTGTTCTTTGTCATCGTGCTGTCTTTGTTATGTCACTCATACTGGCATGTAAATGAACATAGCCAATTATAGAATATCGTTATGCATTTTAACACATGGCAGACACGGGCGGACGTTAATTTATTCAAGCCCAATGGCCGGTCGCTTGCATATGCAGATGTACTGTATATGACTATATTAAATGCAAACTGCATGTATGCATGTGTTTAATCACTGATTTATGATGAGGATGCCAAACAAATGTTGATTTAGACAGACAGATGGTATTTGGGCTCTGATCAGAGCATCATGCCTAATTATCTGTAGCTTTAACCCACCCTCTGTGATCTGGCTTTCTGCTGTCATCTGGACGCACGACTAGAACACATTTACAGCTATTTGCCAGAGAAACACAATGCTGCAGAAACAAACCTGAACCTGGTCATCAAGTATAATGTATCATTCACAACAGTAATTCATGCGGGAACCAGTATGCATGTTTTTCTTTTATTTTGGGCCCATTTTGGTGCAGTTGGTGTTAGAATAAGTTTGCATTTTGAGGGTATTCTAAAAGCAAAGTGTTACAAATTAACTTTCCATGTTCAAAGTGACCCTCTCACGTTTTGAGCTAAATGAAATTCCAAAATACTGTGTATTTTCTTGTAAATGTTAACATGACAGCAAACTTTGTTCTTAAATAAACCAGGAAAAGAGAATGTACATCATTGCTCTTCCTTATCCTGTGATACTCAGAAGTATTTTGCAAAAACTTTCTTTGAAGTCGAAAATAATGGTCAAGAATGATGTTTCGGGTCTCTCGGGACACAACTGGCAGTTGCCAGCAAATTAGTCCTAAACGGAGCCCTGCGTTGTCATGGCAACAGTGCAATTAAATTACTTTACTGTCAGCTGTAATATAATTTTCCTGTGCAGCGGCTCACGGGACCGGAGCGCCCCATCGGAGGCTGAGTGAGATGAGCGCTCCTCATTGGAAAGATGCAGTACATTGATTTTTCATGCATGATTTTAGTGTCCGCATTGCATTTCAATGTGCTGATGGCTGGGTTGAACAAGAGGCGATTTCGTTCCACTTCAAAATGCTGCTCTCTCTGCAGCGCTGAAGTATAATCTTTAAGTATTTCTCTTTTCTGAATGACAATCAGTGTAAAGCAGAGGTCTCGTTGTTTTAGAAAAACATAATCTGCTCTTTGAAGCAGATTTCGTAGAATAATTTCGGCAGTATCATGTTTGATGGTGACTTTCTAGTAATTGCTTTTGCAGATGGACTGGGTGTGTTGAGCGAGGCAGGAGAGACAGCGCCACATAAATTGATCTTTGCGACAGATCACAGCGAAGGTCGCAGACTGTTTTTCTGGTGTCATGTTTGGAGTATTTGATTCAGTGATTGACATGCCCCTATAATATCTTTCCCCTCTGTCACGCCCAGTTCTTTATGGGTTAGTCAGTGTATTGAAATAGATAGTCAGTCATTTTTAGATTAGTAATACTATGGCTGTCAATTGTGCTGGTTGTGGTGACAAGACTTAGCTCATGAATATTAAGTAATCCATAGATATTTAATCATATTTTATTCTTTGTAATATTGTAAAATATTATTAGAATTCAAATGTAATGTTTTCTAATATATTTTAAAACATAAAATAATGAATTCCTGTGATGGCAAAGTTGAATTCTCAGCAGCCATTACTTCAGTCTTTAGTAGGGGTGGGAATCGCAGGGTACCTCACGATACGATACGAATCACGATACATGGCTCACGATACGATAATATCGCGATACATTGATTCTGCGATAATCGATATATTGCTAGACAATTCTATAATGATACATCACAATATCTGTCTAACTATGAAAACAAAATGCCTGTGAAAAGGTTAAGTGCAAGGTTTCTCTCTTTATTCAAGTTCAAACTGTTAGAAAGGAGCACAAAAGTTCTGTAAATCAAATTTAACCTGCTAAGGAAATTAATCATTTTATTCTTGGACTTACTAAAAGCTTACTTTTCTTTGTGTGTAAACCTTTGTGTGCTTGTCAACTTTATATATAGCCTATATATAAACCTGGTACATTTCAAAATTTACCTGGAGTGCTTTCTCAACCTTTCCTCTCCTCTCATCATAAAAACGGAGCCCCGCGCACATGACATGCAGGGGGGATAAAAGACATTCACATAGCGTCTTTTGCGCGGTCAGGTTCGTTATTTCAAATGTACACGCACGGCAAGCAAATACATTGCTTACATTTTGTTTTGTCGTCCATGCCATAGGTGCAGTTTGTGCCGGTCGGTGCCCTAACGCGCACTTGTAATATCTTAGAGAGAGTTTTTGTTTACATAAAACTGGACGCGCCGGCGCTGCTCTCTCTCACTCATATAGTGAGGGAAATTCACCTGCGATCCGAGCGGAGAGGTTAGGCTAATCACAGACTCAATATGCGCTCTGCAATAATAACGTGATCGATGCCTACAGTCCACGCTGATAGCTGTTCCGGGGCAGTTTTTTATCTCCATCTCCTTTTATCTCCATAAACATATATAGAGCAGTAGAGCTAATGTGGCTGGAAATCTGTTTATCCTTCGGTTCCTCGTGCTTCCCCATCTTCATAGAGAACGCAGTTCATGGTTACTCAGAACGCTTTAGAAAGAAGTTGGAAATGGCGCGGCCGCGATTTCCACACATTTTTTAGATCATGGGAGCAGGGAAATCTATATAGAGCGCCTTATTGTAGTAATATATTGTAGTAAATTGTAGTAAAATATCGATATTTTAAGTATCATTAAAACCGTATTCGATTAACGCGATTTGAAAAACTCATGATTAATAAATACTGCATAAAGCAAAGTTAAAAGAAAAAAATAAATCCAGCATAAAGCAAAGTTTTAAGTAACAGTCTCATGTGCGCACAGCACGCAGAGTAGTTTTGTTTTGGGTGAAAACATGGCGGGAAGCTGGGAGGTTATTATACAATTGAATATATGTATGCATTAATTATATGAATGTACCTTTGAAGGTTCTGACAGTCTTCAGAAAAGATTTGATGGCATTTTGTTTTCATCTTCGCTCCATGTAATACCTAATAAAGTAGTGTTCTTAATCGCAATGCTGCTTTGTCTAGGGAGGTTACGGGAAACAGCTGTAATTCTGCTGTTCCATAAGCGCCACCTAGTGTCAGAGAGTCGATTTACAGAGAGTTACATTTACATTCAGCCTGTGTGCAGTTTTTGTTTGGCCAAAAAACAGACCAAATTTGCATGCCCTGCTGTACATTTTGACTGGTTAATGAAAAACAAGCTTATGTGGATTCTACAGGCGTCTGTGTATCTAGAAGTATTTATGGAGCAGATATAAATATAATCATTTATTAATCAATTATCATTTTGACTGAACCCTTTTCTTTATTTAAAGGCTGAAATGTGAGGTTTGCCATTTTATTAAACTTTTTCAAAGCTTTATTTGAACATTCTGTACAGGTCATTATATAAACTGTTGTCAGTCATGTTATCATTTAAAATCTGGACATCATTGGTAATGTTATTGTTTTAGTGTTTATGCAAACAAAAAGCCATTTTATTTGTTGTTTGTTGATTTTAAATATAAAACTTGGTAAAATGATTTATGTGTCAGTACTTTTTGAACATTTCCAGCACATTTTAACAATACCATGTTAATACCGATAACCGTGATCATTTTGGTCACTATAATCGTGATAAGAAATTTTCATACCGTTACATCTATTTGTCACATTATATATGTATTGATATCTGTATTTTTATCTGTGTATGGCAACTATAAAAAGAGCAATTGAGAGAACATAAAACAGAGCAGATCATTTGTAGATGACCTTGAGCATTATATTCCATTTACTTGAAATATTTCACACTACAGCAAGGCGTCTTCGGTTGCTCGATAGCTGTTCCATCATCTCCGAGAGCAGACTTGCGTGCCGTGCATTCTTGCTGTTGACAGAGTAGGATGGTTCTCATAGTCTCGTTCTTTTGTGCTCTCAGAGAATGTTTTGTCCCTTGGATAGAATAAAAAGGGCTTCCTGCAGTGATCTGAACATCAAGTGATCTTAGTCATCCACCAAGACTGTCAGTTTGTTAACTTGTACAATAGTGGATTCGGATTGAGAAATATCATATAACATATAAAATATGTGTGAAGCCTGCTTCATAGTCTCTCGCACTGTCCCAAACGGCGCTCTTAATGTGTTATAATTTCACCTTTGACCTTCTGTGATTGTGATCATGTTCTCTTTGGTGTCTTCTGTAGGAGCCTTGGTCTAAATGGGTCCGGTTATGCCTCCCAGTAAGAAGCCGGAAAACTCCGGGGTCAGCGTTGCGAGCGGCCTGAGCCAGTTCTATCAGGCGAGCTCCATCACGCGCGCCCTGCAGGAGGCCGAGGAGATGGACCTGGCTCTTCCCACCATCAAACTGGAGAAGGGCAGCATGGAGGACGAGGAACTCACCAACCTCAACTGGCTCCACGAGAGCAAGAACCTGCTCAACAGCTTCGGTGACCCTGTGCTGAGGAGCGTCAGCCCCGTCCAGGACTTGGACGATGACACCCCGCCCTCCCCGGCCCACTCGGACCTCCCTTACGACGCCAAGCAGAACCCGAACTGCAAACCCCCTTATTCCTTCAGCTGCCTCATCTTCATGGCCATAGAAGATGCCCCCTCCAAGAGACTGCCAGTTAAAGACATATACAACTGGATCCTGGAACACTTCCCTTACTTTGCCAACGCCCCCACGGGGTGGAAGAACTCAGTCAGGCACAATCTGTCCCTCAATAAGTGTTTTAAGAAAGTGGACAAGGACAGGAGTCAGGTAAGGATGGCAAAACCGCTCTGCATCGAGACATCAATCTTTAACTGCAGAGTGGGAAGTGCTGACCTTAATTTACTCTAGTTTTCATTTCATTTTTACACTTTTTGACTTGACTTTTTTCACATTTGCTTAACATTTTTCAGTAGCCTGAAAACAGCTGCTTTAAAAAAAAAAAAAATATATATATATATAGATTGGGGTCAGTATGATTTTTTTTTTTTAAGTCACTTATCCTCATCATGGCTGCATTTATTTGAACAAAAATACAGTACTAAAACAGTAACATTGTGAAATATAATTGGTTTCTATTTTAATATTTTTTATTTTAATTAACACATTTTTGATTTGCGGTAACTGTGGTACATTTTCAGGATTTAAAAGAATGCATTTATTTGAATTCGAAATCTTTTGTAATAACAATATTATAAATGTCTTTACTGTCATTTCATTAATCAGATATGTACTTGCTAAATGAGGTATTAATTTCTTTAAAATAAATATATATATATATATATATATATATATAGCTGTGACAAACAGGCTAAACAGAACGTTTGTAGTTCACATTTTTTGCATATAGCATTAAAAGCCTTATAGATTTGCAAGACAAGGCAATAATAAATGCCTTTGTCAGGTGCTGCTGGGAATTCCAGTTCATTTGCAGTGAATCAGACTGCTCAGATCAGCAATGAACCGATTCATAAAATGATTTGTGAATCAATTTGAAAACATTTCCATTTTTATTTGTTAATCATAAATAAAAAAAATGTACCATGAAAAGTGTTTATTTTTTCAATATTAGTTCATGATATCTAATGCATTAAATAATGTTAAAGTATTTAACCTTGTTGGAAAGTGTTACCAAATAGAATATAGTTAGAAAAGTTTGGCCTGTTTAAAACATCACTGTATTTTTGTTGTTGTTGTAGTGTAATTAACTGTCAAAAAAGGGCTTTGCAGAAGTGTGCTGAATGTGTCAATATCCAGGGGGATGGGACTTGTTATCTCAAGTTTATTATCAGTAAATGTTGATTGCATTGATTCCTATAAGAGAACATTTTATAATTGTTTGATAAGGGGGATGAAACTTATAAATTGGTACTCGTTAGATGCTCATTGAGTATTGACTGATTCTAGTCAAAAGCTGACACATGTGTTGAGAGTATACTCTCTCTGTGTGTGTGTGTGTGTGTGTGTGTGTGTGTGTGTGTGCGCGTGTGAGTGTTTATGGTGTGTGTGCTTGTGTCTGCAAGTTAGAACAGTAAAGCCATTCCATGTGACTCTTACAGTTCACTGCCATCTGGTCCCTGGCTGTGGCGCAAAGAATTTTTTCTGTATATGTGTCTCCATAGAAACAGCTTTGCAGCTGACATGGAAAGTAAGCTGTTGCTGTAGCAACAGAGAAACCGATGTGTTTGTGTGTGTGTATGTGTGTGAGAAAGTGTTCTGGCTGGGAATGGCTAATCCACTGACGCTAGTATAGTGTCGCCCGATTTAACCCCTTCACTCCTGCCCCAATAATAAGAACATTTATGTAATTTTTGCTGCAGAATGAGTGTTTTGTCTCCTGTTGCAGTATCAGCTTTAGTGGACCTGGTCAAAATATTTAACTTGAGGAATTCAATCCACATGTTCTGTTTAGGATTGCTTAATATTGAGTTAAAATTCAATTTAAAATCTTCCCTCAAAGGTCTGGGGCTGTTTTTCATCTGCTGTGCCTGGGATGCTCGACTCGGCTCCAGATATCATTTTAGCGCTTGTTTCTAGTGCACTCATCTAATTTTATTTAACAGCTTTGCCATCCAAAATTTATTTGTGCCTTGCTGAGATTCACAGTGTCGAGTTGGTTTTTCTTTATTCAAATGAACTGTGTAAGTTTGAGCTCTGGGCTTTTTGGAATTAAAGGTTTCTAGTCTTTTTTTCTTTATTGCACAAAGAGCCTTACAATATCTCAGGGAAGTTCAAACTTCTTTATTATACACATAGAAAGTGCATACAAACAAAAATTCAATTCTTTTTTACATTTTCTAAACAAAATGTGAAGATGATGTTCTTGTGAGTGTGAATTGTGAATTCACAAATGCTACGATTTAATTAAATTATACGATGCAGTTCTAATACAGTATATGCGCTTTAATTATTTACATGCTTGTAGGTTAAGTGCATGCGTCACACAGCGGCTCCGTTCACAGTAGTTCCACAGGAACTGTTATCATTTACATGTGTGGAGTGTCTCAAACTCCATCTCTGCATGCTGTTGTGAGTTTGGGTTTATTATAGTGTTCATCTGGGAACGCAACGTGCGGCATTTCCTCAGATTTGTAAGGTAAATCATTTATAAATCCACGCAAACACAGGAGAATACATCATTATCTTGCGGTTTCAAAATAAAAGCTCAGACCCCCGCTCTGAGTTTACACGTTTTGATGTTCACATATTCTTTTAATTACAGTGGCTATAGCATTTCTGTCCTAAAGAAATGGCCAAATATTAAAGATTAAGTGGACATTTGAATTAAATGGTGCTTGGTCAATATTAAACAAGTATTAGATTGCACAGCAATGTGTAAAAATAATCATCAGGCTGTTGGCGCCTTCTGCAGGCCTTTGTTGTAATGTGTAATGTACATTAGCTCTATTGTTTATAATACATTATGTATTTTAACAGTTTTGTTCAATAAAACCATATGATTTCTTGCTTTTGATACTTTATTTGAACTAATTATTATTGTCTCATTGCTATTATATATGTATTTTAAGTAGTTTTAAAGGCTATTGTTCACCTACATATATTTTTATTACTACAAAAAATGTATCATAATTATAGGGCCCTATGAAATCAGTTTTATTTCCAAATGAATTTTTAAGTTTTAATGGTTAAATTTAATTATATTAATCAAAAAGCCTGTCTAATTAATTGAGTTTTACAGTTTTATCATTACCAAATTCTGTTTTCCATTATTTTCTGGATTCTATTTTAATGGTTCCATAAAATTTTAATAATCAAAAGCATCTCCAATTAATTGATTTAAATTTTTTTTAAAAAGGTTTTTTTCTTCTTTTTTTTCAGAAATACTGCACATTTAAATTTTTCTCCTAAATAACATTTCTGGTAAATACTCCTTTAAAAAGTGTTTTTTGATTATAATTTTATTAGTAGTAGACTAGAACACATGGATATGTTCTCATTCTTACACTATAATACTGAACTTTGATTTCAGTGATTTGGACTATGAGATGGACACTTGCTTCTTGCACTTTGTTGCACTTAACTTTTGCTTTAAAAAAGGATTTCATAGAAATTTGAATTTCATTTGGTTTAATAAAATATTCTTAAGTAAAATTGTTGATTTTTTTGTGGAAAATTAATCGATAAATTAGTCGATATATTAATCAAAATAAAAATAGTCGTTAGTGGCAGCCCTAGATACATCAAAAGTAGGCCAGTTCACTTAAATCAAAGCACTGTATGGACTAGCTGCTAAAATACTAGTTAAATATGAATCCTGCATGTTCTGTGTGTCTCTGTGTGAATGAATTGCGCAGACACGCGATTTCGTTTACTACACGGATACTGAAGCGTGCGTGACGCTCGCTCCATTTTTAGCCTCTGCTGCCTCAATATACGAGTACATAAACACATAAACAACTTCATCATGTCATCTCATTAGCATTTTATCGTTTCTTTTGAGAAAACTATTGTCATATCACATACAAACAGAAACCTAAAGGTCTTCACATCGACCCTTCAAAATAAAAGTTTAGTTTAACTGAAACCATAACAGAAATTTTACTTAATGTAATGGTAGTACTACTACTACTAATACAATTATTATAAAATAATTTTTAATAGTAGCATTATACTCTTATACTCTTTTTTTTTTTTTAAAGAGTATTTACCAAAACAATTATTTTAAATTGGGGGGGGGGGGGATAAATAAAAAGATATATATATATTAGGGTTGTGACGGTGAGGAAATTTTCCCACCGGTTAATCGACGTGTGACAACACCGGTAATACCGGTATCACCGCAGGGGCGTTCCCTCTTTTCCTCGCCTTGAATGCAACAACAAAATACAACGTCAAACTCACTTTAGCGTATATATAAAACATAGAACTTTTAATAACAAAACAAATAAAAATACACCATGCTATACGGCAGGCTATGCCTAATATAAAATAACAAATAGCTTACATGAAGTTTAAATGTACAAAACTGAAAACAAGTAAACATGTATAATATCAGGGTGTCCGCGGGTCCTTAAAAAGTCTTAAAATGTCTTAAATTCGGATTCGATTGGTCTTAATTATTTTTGGTCTCATTACCGCTAAAATATCTTCAGTCTGACGGACCTCCCATAAAAGGTAAAAATCGATTTAAACTTATCTGACCACCACACAGAATATGAACAGTATCAAAAACTTTAGGAGTCAGCTGTCCACGAATATCCTTAAGATACCAGCATAATAATACACTCAATCAGTTGAATGAATGACTCAATGACTCACTCATTCAGTGACTTACTGTTCCCCTTCAGGAAGTCGAGCTGCGTCGAGATTCGCTTTGGGAACGCCCTTGCGTGACCGCGTTCTGAAGCACGTGTCAAATCAGTCCAATGGAGCAGCGAGACGTCACGAGCGGGGTGACGTAAGCACCAGAAAGCATAAAAGCGCATCCGGCAGAGCCCAAACCAGCTTCTGCTCTTCAGTAGCGCTCTGTGTATGTGTCTGTCTATTTACTGTTGTCTGTCCGCACAAGCACTCATATATATAAAACAATGAGAAAGTCTATGGCGAGCGAACAGCAGTAGAAACGCTGTGTTCCTTCCTGCCCACGATATCTGATGGCAGGGGATACACACGATTTGTGTGTCGTTTGTTTGGGAGCGGAGCATGCACGGTCAGCTCTCGAGGGGGCTGATTGTCATGACTGCGAACTGCTCTCGCTGCGCACGCTCTGCTCTTGCCTGGCCGTGTTTGATGAGAGCGGCCAGGCTTGC